CTGAGTGTGGTCCTTCAAATGTCTGTTTTTCTCTCCCAAGATCTCAGTTCCAAAGCTCCTTGTCTTAGGTCTCCCATAGCCACAAAAGACTAAGCCTCTTTTGTTACAGAGATTGACCAATGGCTGCAGGGCAACTGGAACTTTGACACCTGCACACAGTTCTGGTTTTAGCTCCTTTTTCCGTTTTTGGCTTTCACACGTTCAGCCATGATTTTCAAATATGTGTACGATGCTCTGTTTAGCATGCTAGGGGTTTTGCGGCCAGAGTGCTCAGATCATCCAGTTTCCATGTTTCTGGAATTTGAAGCCTGTCATGTAATTCTTGAGTTATTTTAGGGGTTCAAATTGCCTTGGTCTAATCAAAAGTGCCCACACTGAGAGCCAGACGGCCTGGGGTTTGCATTCCAGCCCCGCTACGCACCAGTGACCTGACTCTGAGCAAGTGAGGAAACCTCTCTGAGCCTTCGCTTCCGAAGGAGTTTTAGGGATCCTAATCCCAGATTTTCAGGTTTGCTGTCAAAATGATCTCTATTTTAATACGATGCAAGACACAGTAAGGGAAGGATGACATTATCATTATTTATTCTGTCATCAGATATTGTTTCCCGCCTATGTGTCAGGCCCAGCTAAGTGCTAGGAATAACAGGCGATGAACATATAAACCAATAATGTCACAGAAGCTTAAATGCAATAACAAAACATGTGACAGGACTGAGAGGCAAAGCGGGCTTTTTAAATTAGACGATGAGGGGTTCCTATATGACGACATGCCATTTAATTTAAAATCTGAATGAAGACAAAGATGAAAAAATTAGACGTGAAGGTTGGTTGCACAGCCCTCTGAAGATGCTAAAAGATCACTGAATTATACACTTGAAATGGATGAAATTACACGGTGTGCAAATCACATCTCGATGACGCGTTCATTGGAAGCCCAAATGAAGAAGAGAAAGCCAGGCAAACATCTTTGGGAAAGAGTGTTCCAGAGGCAACAGCAGCACAAAGACCCCGAGGCTGGAAGGGACTTCAGTCAGTTTGAGGGGAAGAAAGGCAGGTGGTGGGGGTTTTGTGAAGGGAGACTGAGGTGACTGAGGCCTAGGCAGGGCCTGGCCATGAAGGGCCTCGGGGATGATTGGGATTCTATCCAAGTGGCACTGGGTAGCCTTTGAAAATGGTCTGAATTGGCCCCTGCACTTTCCGTTCGGCAAGAGAAGTTACGGGAGGGTGGGGGAGCGGCGAGAGCACAGTGGGGAAGGAACAAAGGCCACGCTCCGTGACAGCAGAAGTTTGATGTCCAGAACCCACAAGCAGATGGCAGATGCTAAACCTGTAAGTTCGATAGATCAGGTAGCTGTGTTGCTTCATATAAATGATTAGAAGTATGGTCTTTGGAATCAGACAAAATTAGGTTTCATCCCAAGCTGTGCCACTTAATGAGTGACTTAGGGATGGTTTTACATTTTTGTTACTAAAACTTGGGGCAAATTACCCATGCTTGAGTGTGCGAGTGAGTTGAGGCCCGTGGTTCCATCAACACAACGTCTGATGCATAGGAAGCCCACCAAATTGGTAGCTAATATTACTCCTCTTATTATTCCTTATTGTAATAATTAGAAAGTCTGCTACTTTTACAAAGGGAAAAATATTTTTAAACACATAAGTTTACTTACCTTTAAGAGACATGGGCCTGTTAATCACTAAGAAGTTAAAATTACTATACTAGATGTAATCTAAGATAATATCAATTTTTTCCTGTAATTAAATGAGTTTGAAACAAATTTTAGGAATTATAAAATCTTCAGTGAATTTTTCATTTTGGAATTCAGAAAGTATAAATAAGTCCTTTGGCAAACTCTTTTTGTAATTATGAACTCCTACGGAGTATTGAGTTGGATATTTTTAATAGTCCCAAAATGAGACTCAAACTCACATGCTCAATATTGGAAGAATGATTACACATATTATGTTATAGCTACCTGAAGGAAGAGTAGTTACACTTTTTTAAAATTTACATTTACAGAGAACATTAATGACATTGGAAAATGTTATAGTGCAAGAGAAAGAATAGGATATAAAAATACCACATATATTGTTATCTTGAACATGTAAGAGCATCTAAAAAAAGGGTAAAATATGTCAAAAATTAGTAATACTGGATTTGGGATAATTAAAGTAAACATGATTTTCTTTTGTTTATTGTTTTCTCTGCTTTTTAGCTTTTCTAATATGTATAGATTATTTTATAAGAATGATTAGAAATGATAAGGTTAACAACATGTTAGAAAAAATATAACACAATGTAATTGAGACAGTCTGTTAGACCTTGCTGACTCTTAAACAGACACTTGAGAAGTTTGTCAGGAGAGAATAATTACCTAGAAAGAAGAGTTAATTAAATGTGGTAAAAAGACCAAAGTTCTTCAGGTTATTGCCCTATTTACCAAAGTGTGTGACATGCATATCGGGAACACATCAAGAGCTGACTGTGCCCTTCACTCTATTCAGCCACGACACGGCACTTACTTAATACTCTGCTATAATAATTCCTCCCCAAATTGAGAAAGTTCATCCAACTGAAGAGAAAAGAAAGAAAACATTGTACATGTGTCTGCTTTCCTCGAGGATTTCTCACTAGTATCTTTTTAACCTCTTCAGTGATTGCTATGAAAAAGCAAATACCCAAGGGCCTCTGGGGTAAGGAGCTCGCCTGTCCCAAAGCACTCAACGCCCCCACCTTGGAGCATCGCTCGGCCGTAGCCAGTGAAGCACCTGCACTAGCACCGGTCCCCGTCCAAAGGGGCGAGTTCCGGGTCTGGGGCCCAGGCACCTGCACTGCTAGTGGCTCCTGCGGAGAGCAGACCGCGTGTCTTCTACAAGGGAGGCGGTCTCTTTGAAACCCCCATTGTAGGTACCCTGGCCAGCCCTCACGCTCAGCCTCCCAGAACTCTAACGCACAGGCGGAGGAGAAGGAGGTAGATCACAGCACGCAAGCCACGTGGTCTGCAGCATTCAGGAAGTCGTTATCCCTCAACAGAACTCTTCTGATGGAAATGTCATGGGTTATAGGTCTCAGGATCTAGTGTTTTTCCTTTCAAAGAGTAACCTGCTTTTTTCAAACGATTACATAAAACCACAGTGCACTTAACTGATTTAATGAGCTGCAATTCCGTACTTTAGATCCTATGAGGAGAAATGCCTGTTTGAAAGAAATCTTGGTTAAATCAAGGTCTCGTCTGTAGTAATACTGAGGGTCACGGCTTGTGTTGTTCCACACCCCCCCACCAGTCAAAAGCCAACTCTTTTACGTTAAATACTAAGATTGCTACTTTGGCTAAAATTTGAGTTTTTCATTAGAGTGAAATCAAGGCTGATATTTCATAAAGCTTCGATGCAAACAAAAATGATTAATCATGTTCATAAATATGCACACAAACTCAAACCATGATATTAAAAGGTTATCTTGCATTTGAGACAAAATGACAAACCCAGAACTTTTTAATTACCAAGATTTGATGTAGCAATCCTGTTTGTTCAGTAACATGACAAAATAGGAACATTACATTAGCAGAAGTGGAATTTAAGACCATAAAATATTATTTGAAAACAGGAAGACAAGAGCCTCATAGGAAGCTTTTAATTTTCAATGCTATGTTCTCATGCCTAAGAGGATTACTACATGGCTTTTCTATGATAAAAATAATCACGGTGCCTGAGTATTATATACATTCATTTGTGGATGACAAACACTATTGTAAACATGTCCTTTCCTAGTTACTTCAGCAATTGTTTTCAGCTCATTCAATGCTTTGTCTAAATAGCTTTAAGACATATAAAAAGCAAACAATACTTTCATAAAGTTTTTAGTAAGCAATTATCCAAAAACGTATTTACTCATTACATTGGAACACTAAGTGCTGACTATGGACAGCTGGTTTGAAATCATGACTCCAACGCCTCTCTTATAAGACTTTCTAGGTCAAAAAATGGCCTTAAAAAACTAGTTTGGGGCTGAATTGCCATTATATTCAGAAACTGAGCCAAAGAGTTTAAATTCAAAGGTTAAACTCAGAATTTGAACCAACTACTTTCGTATATTAAAAAATTGGCCCTTTGGTCAAAATTTCAAACATAAATCATATTGATGATATGCATATGTGCACGACATCCCATAAAAATGGCACCACAGGGAAATTACTGATTAACCTAAAGGAAGAACGTCACTGTCAGATTCGTGCCTCGGGTTCAAGGTGGGGGACTGCTAGGATTTTGGATTCCCTAGCTTTTGGTGATGCATTGGAAGCTTTTGTGTGTTCCCTGCAGGTGTTTCAGACAAGTTCTGAATTCTAAAATTATATCAGCAGAGCAAATCTGATTCATTTACTGGGCAAGAGCTGCATTCTGAACTGTCCAACTCAAATTGAACTACACTCCCTGGCCAACAATTCATTTTCTTGGTAGATAATCAATGTTACCTTCAATAAGGCAATCCCCACATAGCCTTTGGCCACAGCTACTGTCTGTAAAAAAAGAGTTCTGAATCAGTAGATCATGCAGAAGGGCATGCGCTCCCTTAGCAGGCGGTGGAGGAAACCTACAATGGGGATGCATGCCGGAGAGGAGAGGGCTTTTTAATATGAGTCTCATCTAATTAACGGGGCTCTCCTTTCTAATCCGGCCATGGTCAGTGATCCAAGGAACTGAAATGGAAATGGAAAACAATGAATCTCTGAAGTTAAAGGTATAAAATTCTGCAGCGTTCCTCAGACTCTTCATGCTTATTCCCAGAATGGAAAGCAACTAGAGAGAACAAAATAGTACTTTTTTCCCCTTAGAAAACTCTTGAGCATGTTGATTAATGCTCATCGGTGCGTGGGAGCATTTCATTCATTTGGATGTGCAAATTAAACTGGAAAAATCCACAAAAACGTCTTTATCACCAGTAAACCAATCAGTATAACACAATATAACAGAAAAGAAGAATATCACAATCCTTGATCTACACATGTGAATAAAAGTATCTTAATAAAGTCTACCATTTTTATAAAAAAGCTTTCCACTTTACACATGATCATTACTCAATAAATCTTATTTACAATACTCTCGATAAATGCCTTCACCGTGTCGAGTTAAAGCCACTCTGTGTTTCTTACTGGGGACACTTGCTTTCAGTCCTCTTTCTTGTCTGAGGGACTCTCGTCGTCGTGGTTTTCAGGACTGACTTTATTGCTCGCATCGTGGGGAGGCGCCTGGTCTTCCTCGGGCAATGAAAACACATGGCTTGCCTGGAGTTCTAAGTACGTTGTAAATATCTTCGCATATTCCGGATGCTTTAGGGCAAAACTTTTAAATTCCTCTAGAAGAAGGGATGACACAAAATCCAATAAACTGTGGGGAATCTTCTTGTGACATGATACAGATTAACATATGACTTTAATATAATTATTGCAAAATCTTATTACTCAACCCTCGTAAATTTGTATTAACTACTTGGGAAGACAGTTGTTCCATGATCTAGTCAAATTGAAGACATGCATGTTCTGGGGCCCATTAATTCTATCCCAGAGTTGGGATTAATTCTATCCCAACGTAGAGAAATGGGTGTGTATCGTGTCCGGGGAGAATGTCCACGGCAACTTTAACCATGACAGGTAGAACATGGAAACAGCTCACGGGTTTGTCAGCAGTAGAAATGGATAAACAAATTTTAACATATCCGTGGAACATAATGCTATACGGCAATGAAAGTGAATGAACAGCTGCGTGCCCACAAAGTGGGTGAATCTTAAAGCCACCATATTGAAAGAACAAAGCCCGACACAAGCGAACACCTATCGTATGAGTCTATTACATAAACTCCAAAAGCTTAGAAAACTGAAATGTAATATTAAAGATGTGTCCTTTTGTGGTGAGATGTGAAAGGAGAGCAAGGTGGGGGCTCCTCTCCGAGTCAGCTCGGCAGAGTCTCCTGTGAGGGGGAAGAAGGGGGTGCAGCTGGAAAGGGTTTCTAGAGTCTTCGAAAAGCTCTATTTCTTGACCTGAGTGGTAGTTACACAAGTGGTCACTTTGTAAAACTTCATTATGTTCCATGTTTATGTTTTTTATTCAGTGTTCTGTATTTTTGTAATAAAAAGGTTTTCAAAATTCTATCACCCCCAGGACTTTCCATTACTGCCTTTTAAAACTATTTTAACCCTTAACTTGGGTACAGTGATATCACAGTCTACAAAAGCTAAGCCCTGACTTATAACCCATAAAAAACAAGTAAGAGTGTACAATACATAAAAATCATATCCCAAGCCCTTCGAGAAGCGGACCTCTTTTCATCTCAAGTGCCTTAGATTTAGGAACTGAAGTAGAGGCTTGGAAGGCTTAGTAAGTTAACCATCCGAGTTTGAACTGCAAGCCTCCAAGAACCTGGAGTTTCTGCAATACGATGCTGCTCTCGATCTTGACAATTTTCTATCCTCTTCTATTTGGGTGGAGAAAAGCAAAGGGAACCTGGTCTTTGAATCAGCTCACTATTTTGGTCTATAACAAAAGGATTTTAACCCAATGTCCTATTTCTGTGTGTTTTTTAAAAAATCCTCTGACAACCAAGAGCCTACTGCATAGCACATCAGATGGCCTGACAACTCTTAATGAGAAAACAGGCTTTTAGTGCTGAGGAAGTCACCAGATTGAGCCTGGATCATTCTTTGCAACTGCAACATGATTTTGCCTTCATAAGCCACTCTACAGTTCCAAAGCAGGCAAGCCATGAATTGTTATTTCTGAACATCCAAAAGAAAGGTTCGTCCTCATGAGTCTGCTTCAGTGACGGAGAGGCAGAGGACTCGGGTGACTTCTATGATAAGGGTGCATAAGAGTTGATCTGCTGAAACTGATCATTTCAGTTGATCTTGAAACTAATTTCAAGACTTATGATCTGTTCAAGAGTTCCAGGTCTCTCTTCTCTTTGGGGATGCCAGTGGCGTTAAAGAGTAACTCATTTCTACACAAAGTGCTGTGAACTAACTTTAAGTGGAATTTCAGCATTAATGTGGCTAAAGGAAACCCAAGAATGAAAACAATTTAAAAGGTCACGTTCATGATATAGTTCAATAGCTATTCTTTTATAAAATAATAAACTTAACTATTCCAAACATTCCTGCAAAAGACAAACAAACAAACCAAAAAAGAAAAAGAAAAAGAGAAAACCAAACAGTAGGCTGTATACTAATGGCAAAGGGGAGACATTCCTTATATTCTGAAAATTAAAAGGTTGAACTCCCCCAAGCAATGTAGGTTTCCCTAAAAATTTATTAAAACCAATAGGCAAAATCATGACTGCCTACAAATAATTTTTAGTATTAGCTTCCATTAAAAGTTATTCTAAATAGTTTCTCAAAATTTGGTTAATAGTAATAACAGAGTCTTAGTTATATAAGAAAAATGGTCAGAGAATGAGTACACAGGGGCTTTATGACTCATAAGTTTTATCACAGTATAAACTTCCCTATTCCCTCCTTCCCTCCCTCCTTTCTTCCCTCCCTCCCCTTCTCCCTCCCTCCCTTCCCCCACTTTTCCTATCTTTCTTGTTTTCTTAAATGAACTCAATAGACTAAGTGCCCTAGGCACTTAATTACCTAGATTAGAATAAAGGGCAGCCAAATCAACGGTAATTAAAAACAGAGAGCAGGAGAAGTATGTGATCTAATTGCCCCATCCCCTAAAAGTTAAGCTGAAACTCTTTGAACTCCATGAGGAAATAGACATTCAAGAGGAATCCTCTTCCAGCCCAAGGGAAGAGACCGGGAAAGTAAGCCGCCCTGACTTCTGTGACCACATCAAAGCTCAGGCAGGGAAACGGTCACTCCCGTCTCTCTGTGGTGGTGTGTTTCTCAATGACTGCCCTGAGACCTGTGGAAACTGAGGCGCCACCGTCAGCCCCATGGGAGGAGTTCTGCTGAGGGTCTTGAAGGCACTGGGAGAAAGGTCAGTCGCCGATGGATGAACCTGCCACTTGGCCGTAAGGTCTTCCTCCTCAATAGTCCCTCCCCCGCAGAGGTGCCACCGGCATGACGTGGGACAGTGACCGCGAAAGCTTATGTCAGCTGCTAACAGTAAACATCAATAGATGGCTTGGCTGCTCCTATTATGGCTGACCCCTCAGCCCCTTCTCTCTACTGTGGTTACCGCCCAGTGGGGGAACGTGCTCAGCGTTGCTTGTCCACACTGATGGCCGAAAGGAAAGGCTCCTCAAGGAGGGGCAGTGGGTCTGAGAGATGTGACAGGCACTCAGGTGTGGAGGTCAAGAGGGCGGGCTCTACAGCCAGACGGTCTTGGCTCTGGAATCCTGGTTCCAGCACCCTCTAGCTGGGTGACGTTTGGTAACTAACTGAAATTCTTTGCATCTCAGTAAAATAAGAATAATAAAGAGCACTGATTAAATACGCTTGCTGTAAGGAATAAATGAGTTAACACATATAAAATGTTTAGCGGAGCACTTAGCGTGTGGTAAGTCCTCAGTAGCGAGCTACTACCATGACACCACTACAGCTATTTTACAGTCAGCACCATCATCACGATTGTTGTTAACATAATTAGTGGAGGGCAACAATGGTCGCGTGTGAGAGCCAGCGCATCATCTGGACCCTCTGTCTTTGCAAACTGCGTCAGGAGCCACGCTTCCCACTCACCATAGGACACAGAATCCCCCTGGGCTATTTCCTTGAAGAGACCAGAGATGTCGAGGTCGGGCACCCCGAGGGAAGCCTGCAGAATGCTGGAAAACTCCCCCTCCGTTATGTAGCCGTCCTCGTCCACGTCAAAGAGCTGCAGGAAGCAAAACGAAAGGTCAGGCTTGGCTCCCGCAGAGCAGCACTGGCATGGGACAATCTCGGGAAATCAACTCTTTAACCACAGGAGCGTGCCCTGTGCCAGGGCCGGGGATAGTTCATGGAGAAAGCAGGGTGTCTGCTGCCCGCGCGGCACTTCGGGGTCAGTGGTGGAAAGAGACAGAGTAAAAATAGAGGCTACCACGGTGCAAAGGACAAAGGACACGGGAGTCCTGTGGAGGAGAGAAAGATGACTCCGACCCCAGGAGGTCAGGGAAGGCTGGACGGACGGCGGAGGTGACGTGTGAGTTGGGTCTTAGAACTTAAATTAGGGAGAGATTCCCAGAATATACAAGGACTGGCTGGTGGTTGCTCGGCGCCCAGGTCAGGGGGCAGAAGGACAAGCAGGCAGCAGACCATGGCGGAAAGAGGACGCCTCTCCCGGACCCAGGAGGATTACGGCGGCGGTTAGGGCCCTGGTGTGATCATGTGCGAACAGATGGGGCTCTTTGCGGCGGAGCATGGGGGAGGGGTTGGGGGCAGAAGGTTAACCAAGCTGGAGACGGGAAAACCTACTGCGGGTCTGGGGTGGAGAAGCAGGAGGGACGTGGGGAGGGAAGGCTTTATACGGAATCCAAGACGGGACGCGTATCAGTTAGAGGCCAGGAGTGATGGAATGGACGGGTGTTTTAAGCCCAGCTGCAGCACAGAAGAGCTCATGGATAATTAATATCCCGTATTCAAATCCTCTCCCTGGCATTACATTTTTTTTTAATAATAGAAGCACTTAGTCTGTGCAAGTCCTGATCAAAAGTATTCAGATCACTGCATATGCGTTGACTCATTAACCCTCACAATAGCCTTGGGTATGGTCAGTGCCGTCTTAGCCCCGTCTTCCAGGGGAGAAAGTCAGGTCACTCTCCCAAGGTCCCAGAAGCAGTATCCTGGCAGAGAGCATCTCAAGTTCCTGCTGTTACGATACCTACTTCTGACCAAACACGTGATCAAAAACTAGAAGAAACCCCAGCCACTAGGTAAGGTGTGGTAACCGTGAAATGAACAACCAGCAAATACAGGATAGTGTTGTAATTGTCCAGTAGGTGAGAGGAGAAAAATACCTCTGAAGTTGTGATTGGCTGCCTGCGGCTGAGGAAGCGCTCACTTCCACTCCCTTTTCCACAGCTCAGCCTCTACTGGGGGCGGAGATAGATGGACTAGGGAAGGGAATTAGCATTTGTTTTCCCAAACTGCAGCCCCAGGGCTCTTTCTGGGCCTGAGACTTGAGAGAGTGGCTGCCAGGTCCCGCCCCACGGCCGCTCCCCCTCCCCCGCCCCCCACAGGCTCTGGGCTTTGTTGAGGGTCTTCGTCCTGAGCGGTTCTCACCCGCTCCACACGGGGTCTTTGGTGGCTCTCACTTCCATATTAAGTTCCCTTCATGGGTCCGTGCGTCCCTGCCAGGGACTTCCACTTCCTCCCATCTGTCCTTCGTCACACTACCCCAGACGCTCCCGTCCCTGAAACACCCGATTTCCCTCAATTACTCATCACTCCCGACGGTTTCCCTGCTCCTCAGTCCCCAGATCTAATGGGCAGCCCAGGCTCTGGTGGAAAGTTTAACACCCAAGTTTCCGTTGGGGGAGTGACAGCTCCCTGTGCCCAGAACACTGTCAAATCCTGAATCAAAATCTTCCTCAGACACGGCCCAAGCCTGGCTGGGCCCGCCCGCCGTGGGAGCGAAGGGCAGAGCGGGCCTGGCCCCTCCTCGCCGGAGGGCCCGGGGAGAATGCAGAGTCGCTCCTGGAGGCCCCCTGTCGCCCTCACACGGGCCCTCAGCCGGAGCTGTGCCCGCGGCCACGACCGAGGAACTCGGACCGACATCCTACCTCTAGGGCCACTGTGAGGATGGAACGAGGTCAGAGATGGGGCGTTAACTGTGACGTGCTGCCCAAATCAAAGAATGTGACTGGATCACACACACACACACACACACACACACACGTATGTATACACACATATGTACACACATATATGTACACACATGTATGTACACACACATATGCGTGTGTGTGTGCATATGCAAATATAAAGCATGGCAGAATATTTTCAAACACATCCAAGAAGGCTAAAAAATAACCAATATAAAGCAGACCCTGCCTTCCTGAAAAAAGAGCTAATTATAGTTTTAGGCCCTCCTTTCCTCACTCTGTCCCCCAAACCAAGGTCCAGGCTACACAAAATCGCAAGACATCTTTAAAAACAGTCATTACTGTGATTAAGGGCCACATTTCCTAGCAGGTCTTTCATTGGTAAACCTGAAGTGCACATTTGCCCAACCAAACTTATAATTACGCATACAGCCCCCAAACAGAAACAGAAGTATCTGGGTCGGAACGAGTTAGCTACGGGTCTAATTTTAGGTTTTATGATGAATAAGGGCTGTGAGAGCCCAAAGTTTTCGACTTGGAAGACATTCTGGCCCTGGCCTTCTCGCCGTCCGCTAAGCATCAGCCGCGCAGGTTCTTCCCAGGCCTCGCCGTTAACTCGGTTTAAACCGACCTGACATAACAATGTAGACGTGGGGACTCCTGGGCCAAGGACAGACGGCACGAACATTCCTGCGGCTGTCCCTGCTGGTCCCTGCGGTGGGCAAAAGGGCTCTGAAAGCCAGTCTGTCTAGGGAGCAGCGGGAAAAACTTGTTGGGATCTCAAGGGCTTGTCTTCTCAGAGAAAATCAGGAAGGAACGAGAGGAGGAGGCGGGCGCGAGAAGGTCCTCCCGCTGCTGGGGCCGCAAAGCACAGAACCCAGCACATGCTCACTGAGCGGATCTGTAGCCACCGCGTGAGACAGGAGGGAGGTGGGGTTTCTGTTTTACTTGCGAGCAGGCCGTACATGGTTAGGATTCTGAAGGGAGCGTGCCATTTAAATACTAATGAGATGAAGCACCGTACAACCCAGAAAAACTCAAAACACACTTTGGGCATGTCTTCCCCGCCCTCTTTTTTGCACATGGGAGTGGTAAATGAAATCAGGCTCCTCATATTTCAAACCTCCATCCAGTTCTGCTGGGATGGGGGCCATGGTCTTATTCATCTGTCCCCTAACACTGCTGTGAAAATATATGCGATACCACAGGAAAACCTAGAGGGTGGGCGCTGGGGACATTTTTGATGGAGTTCACCTAACACCACCTCCAAAAAAATGAACTCCAATGGGAAAATACCTCCAAGATGACCTCGGACATAGAGAGCGTGGATGGACAGACAGATCAGAACTCTGTAGGATGACTGAGGATGCCTAGTGACAGGTGCCATTTATTTATAAACCTCACTTCAGGGCTTGGAACCCGGGAGGCAGGAAAGAGATAATTTTTTAAGCTGATTTGTGAAATCACCTGCTCTTGGATTTTGATGCGGTGGCCGCCTGGGCTGCTTCCAGAGACCTTTTCGCTTAAACGGATGCCTGTGTTTCCTTCCTCCTCAGCAGCGATTGTCTTAACCACATTACCCTCGTGTGCCTGTCACAGCGGATCTATAAACTCATGTAGTGGGTTCACTGCCTTTCAAATAATACACTTAGAGTCAACACTTGTTTATGAGGCAGGCCCCGACGTTCTCCGCAGGGCCAACGGTACCTTAAATGCCACCTGGATGATCTCCTCGGTGTTGGCGGGGTTGCACAAGACGGCCAGGCCAATCACGTACTCCCGGAAGTCGATGCTGCCATCGTGGTTCTGAGAGGGGATGGGAGACATCGATTAGCAGGGACACGAGTGGAACTGCTACTAAACACTCCCCCCGCCGCCTCTCCGCAAGGCAATGTTCAGGGATGCCATGCACCTCAACATCATCATGAGCTGAGCCTGTTTGGAAAAAAGTGAGGCAGGACAGCAAGCAGGTGGCCCCCCACTCCCGGTTCACAGGAAGAAAACGTTATTTCTGTTTAGCAACGAATGCAAACATCACTGAGGCTCATTTAGAGGGGCTCTGTGGCATCCAGAGCCCCTCTGGGAGGTAGGATCTAAGACTTGTATCCCAGGTGGGGCCGAAGTATTCCCTCCCCCATCGATGGTGGCCCTGCCACGATGGCCGACATCAACGAGTCACTAAAGGGTCACTAAGCAACCCTTTACCTGCAGAAAAAGAAAGAGAGAGGACAAGGGCAAGTTGAGGCAGCAGTCCCAGGGACGTCTGTCCTTCTTTCCAGGCTTAATCGGCAAGAAACCAGCAGCAAGGGAGCAAACCCGAGCAGCTCCAGCAGCCCCGTGGTGACTGACCCCGGGCCCCAGAAGATCCAGCATGTCTCAGCCTCCGCAAACTGAGCCTAACCACTACGACACCAGGACCCATACAGCCAGGAGGTATTTCATCAGGGCATGCAAGTCACCCCAACCCTGGCTGCCTCAGCACCACACTTTCCCACACGCGAACCACTCGCTGGGACAGGAACCGCGAGGAGACGGAGTGGCCAGAAGGCAGGGAGGGAGAAAGGAAGGAAGGGGCAAGGCAGGGAAGGAGGGAGGGTGAGGCTAGAAAGAAGGAAAGGAGGGAGGAGAAAGAAGAGAGATGGGGAGAGGACGGAAAGATGGCAAGGACGAAAGGGGAGGAGGAAGAGGAAAGAGAACCATAAACAGCATTGTGACTACAATCCCAGGTGTCAGGATCATTTTGGCAGCAACATCAGGCAAGTGATGAGTTCCCAGATAAGCAGCGAACTAGTAGCAACAGCATCGCTAGGGCGGGACCTCAGAGTTTAACAAATGCTTGGCATCAATAAGAGTGTGATTGTCACATAAATCAGACTCGGCTATGACTATGTGGCCAGAGAAGAAGACTGAGTCTTTGAAGATACTCTCGAGGTCCAAAGGAGTATTAGTGTTCAAATACAGTAAATTCTCAGTTACCCAAAAAAGTCAGGGAAGAGGTATTCTGAATATTCTGGATATTCCTTAAGAGGATATTTCTACCCATGTTGGTAATTATAGGTAATTACCAATTTCTAGGAATTATATTGTTTTATCCACTTAGCATTACAAGGAAATATTTGAAGTAAGTATTTCTAAGAGCATTTCAAGATCAACAGCCACATTCAAAAATATTTGTAAGGCCCCACTATGGATTAGTTGTGCTATACTACTTGATGAGATTTCTGACTGAGGTTGCTACATGACTCAACTTGTAAACATAGATGCACTGTTACCCTAAAAATATTTTGTTTTCTTTTTTTTTAAAGACAGAGTGGTAGGGAGAGTAGGGAGAGATAGAAACATCAATGAGAGAGGGAAGCGTCGATTGGTTGCCTCCTGTATGCGCCCTTCCGGGACCAGGGAATGTATGCGTCCACACCTGGGGTTGCATACACCCGGGCCTGGGCTAGGATCAAACCGCAACCCAGGCATGTGCCCTGACTGGGAATCGAACCTGCAACCTTTCAGTTATGGGACGACATCCAACCAACTGAGCCACAGTGGCTGGAGCAACTCCAAAAATATTTTAAAAGTGATTTTAAAATAATATACAAATGTTGAATATTTTTGGAGATGTGCTGTTCTTAGGTACACAGCTTATAGTACTTTTTCCTGCTAAAGGTTATAGAATTCAGTGTATGATATCAAGATGAAGGTGTTTTTCAAAATCATATGGGGTATTTTAACATTAAAAAATGTAGAGGCTGAAATTTCACAAAATTTTTTTATAAACAAATATAATTTTCACTGTACTATATTGATTGCAATATTTAATACTAGAAATTTTAAAATAATGGGAGGGAGTTACAGGAATCAAAGACCTTTACTTAAGCTACAGGTATTCATTCTCCCATGTTGAAATGTCAAAGTTAAAAAAAATATGTATCTGGTAAACACTCCCTCTTACATTGAAAAATGTGTCTTTAGACCATCAACTATTGGATGAAAACTAAGAAATTTCATTATTCATTCTAGGCCAAAGATTTGGTTACTTGGAAAAATCCAGAGTTTGGACTGAATGTTGTAGCATACGCTCTAGAGACTGAGGTTATTTGTTCAAGTTTTATACAACATTAATTTGTATCAAATGTGTTTGTATAAACATGCAAAATGTTCTGTTCTCTGAGGAGAACACAGGGAAGAAACCTGTGGGGGACTGCGGGACCCTTTGTGTGTGCGGGCGGAAAAGCGGTCACAAGAGCTGGGGGCCCTGAACTTGAGGAGCAAGAGAAATACCTCCTACCACCCGCAGTGGGAGGTCATTGTCTTAATGTTTATAAAATATTTAAAACGAAGTGAGGGAAAGAAGTGTGGCTACATCGCCCTTCCCACAACCACCGCGTGGAAAGGTTAAATTATAACTCGATATTCTGAGGCCCTAAAAGGCGCATTGGCAGCTTCCCCCTTTCCAGGCCACGTTCCCACACCCATGCCTAACGCAATTGGTAGGCACACCCTAAGATGCAGGTCCTGATGTTAATGTGTGGCTGCTGGAAGCAGCCTCACACCGACCCTGCCACACCTGGTCTGAGCAGCACACTAGGCCACGCTCAAGTCACCAAGCCCTTGAGCCCGGTGGAGGTGCCCCGTGTGCTTGGCTCAGTGCAGGATTATGTGCACGTGGTTTCATAAATATTATGTGATGGAGATGACGGTGACCACAGAGGCCAAAAAGTCACCTCCTTTTAATTCCCCTGGGGATTTCCCACCGGCAGCGGAGGGCGGTTAACAAACCAGTCACGCCACTTCCACAGCTACAACTTTCCTCTAAATGAGTCAAAAGAGAAGGGAAGAATTTATCTTCTAACTCAGGAGGAGCCTCCGAAGTAGCTGGCAGAGAGAGGAAATGGGCTGAAAACCAGGCAAGCAGGAGGGGTAACCGGTCGGGTACCAGGCCCGTGAGCTGAGCACCTGCAGACGGGGCCTCCCTGGCAGAGTCTCCGCGCACCAGATTGGATTCTGGATTCTTCTTGCCCAGCTCTCACCACCTGAATCAAAACGATAAAACCAAACCAAGGGCCACTTGCACAAGAAAGGCAGGACTACCCTGGCTTCGGGCTGTCAGCTTCCCAGCAGGCCTGTCTTCCTTCTCTGGACGCTGCCCTTACGGACTCCTCTGCCGGGGCTGTTCTGGGTGAGACGTTTGGAAAACGCTGTGAGACAGCCTTCCTTTAGAGCCGTGGCTGGCACCCCTGGCCCACGGAAGATTCTGCGATAACTCACTTGGAGAGGGGCTCCGCATCAGGACCCCTCAGCGTGAGTCTGAAGGCCAGCCAGGGCTGAGGATGCTGCAATAAAGAGCCTGCAATACTGACATATATTTCTCTATATTGTTTTATATACCACACAGGCCTGATGAGGATTTACGTTAAGTTGGTTTTTTTTTCTTTCTTTCATTGTTTACTTTTTCTCCTGCCTGGTTTTCAGAGAGAAGCAACAGCCACCACAAAGTATTCTTTGTTCCAAAATAAACTAATGAACAAAATAGAAACAGAGGCGTGGGTACAGGGAACAGACTGACAGCTGTCAGAGGGGCCGGGGAGGGGGAGGATGGATGAAAGGAGGGGAAGGGATTAGCCATAGAACACAGACAATGCCTGAGGGGAGGGGGCTGGGTGGGGGTGGGGGTGGGGGAGAAGGGTGGGGACAACTGTAATAGCATAAACAATAAAAAAAAAATAGTCCTTGTTCCAAGGCAGGCAAGACACCACAGGAGCAGGAGCGGGCTGAAAGCTGGGCGTGCCTGGCTGCGTCTGAAGTACATGCCGGAGTGATCAGCAATCGCTTCATCCTTAAAGCAGCCAGACATTCCCTGATGCCCTTGACTCGCTTTACAAATATCGAAACAAAAAAAATTGCTACGTGCTTTTTCTCCACCTAAAGAATTCTAGAATTTTAGATAGTTGCTCCACCATTTAAAAAAAAACAACAAAACTACCCTTATATAAAATGGCTTCATTCCACATTCCTGAACTTGTTTCTATACAGTTCAATAGGATTCCAGGAAAGCATTTTTCATTTTTCTTTTACATAATGGAAATACCAGCTGTAAAATTAAGAGGAAAAACAGATTTTGAACTTCCCCCCTCCTCACCTTTTAAAGGGAAAAAAATGCATCTCCTGAGTGTTTTCTTGATTTATTGCAATTTTTTTTTTTCAAAATTTCATTCTTAACAACAACACATGTCCTGCTCCTTGGGGGGAATTTGATCACCAAATGAGCAACAAGCCACTCAAATCCAGTCCCTCAGGGCTCCTCCCTGCACCCCATCACATCTAGGATCACCTCCCGCGTCTCAAACAGCAGCTGCCCACACCACTGACAACACTTCTCATGGCAAATCTGTTTTAATGAAGCAGTAAAAAGCGGCGCAAGTCCAGACGCAGGTAGGGGCGTGGGACAGGTGGCCGGGAAATGGCGGCTACGGGACGCGGCACGGCCTCCGGCCGTCCAGCCCTTGGCCTCCGGGGCGGGCCCGCCTTCTCGTGCCCCACTCAGGAGTACATGGTCAGCTGCAGCCACTCTTGGATGGACACCTGGATCAGCCCATCCGCATCTCTGTCCAGGGATTTGAAGGCTCGGAACATGGCATCCAGGCGGACCAGGCAGCAGATGAAGTTGTTAAAGTCCATGCTCCCGTCGTCGTCGGCGTACCGGCGGACGATCATCTGGTACAGCTGCTCGTTGAGCTGGAAGCCGGCTGCCTGCAGAGCCCCCCGCAGCTGAGAACTGCTCAGGGACCCAGAGTGGTCCTGGTCATACTGCTTGTACACACACTGCCATTTCTTCAGGTTGTTCCACAGATACTTAAATTCCTCAAAGCCCAGCTTCCCGTTCGTGTCATTGTCCATGACGGACACGATGCTTCGGCAGGTGTCGAGGCTAAAGCCGTCGGTCTTCAGATCCTTGTGCTTAGAAAGGATTTTGTTGAGAATGTTCATCAGATCGGTGGCACCCACCTCCATGTCCGGTCCCGCCAGCTGTGCAAATTGGTGCCGGAACCGCCTGACTTCCTCACTTTCGTGGGCCTCCACGTTGGTGAAATGCTGCTGGGTGGGGGGCGGCTCTGGGGTGTACTGAGCAGCTGCAGCCTCGCTGATAAAATTCACAATGCCTCCAACCAGCCCTCCAATATTTCCTCCTCCTCGCTGACCGCCGCCTCCAAGAAGGCCTCCAAAGGCTTCCCCAAGGCCCCTATCCGCTCCTTCCAAAAAAGCCTTTGCGAGAAACATGATTTCAGCTTCACAAGCTGCCGCAAGCCTTGGAGATAGATGAAGAGGGCTGAAATGGAGTCTGAGGAGCTCACGTGTGGAAGAACTGGCTTTTCTGTACCTGTTCCCGCTGAGCCACACCCTGCAGTGCGATGCCTCAGCTCCCACTGAAGCTGCCTGCATTCCATTAGGTCCTAGCACCTGCCATGTGTAAGGAGGGGGCGCTCAATAAAATACTGAGCTCTTCCAATCAATGCTCCTCATATAGCTAATAACTATTCATAAATTATAGTACGTCGGACAAATGAGAAGCAATCATATTTGTAAATGAATATGTAAACTACACATTTCTGTATGTCATTGCTCTTAGAGCTCTTTCTCAGCCCCAGCAAGATAACAGGCGTTTTCCTAACAGAAGGTGAATGATTCAAGGAAAGTGAGAAATTCTTTTCCAGCAGTAGAACTGAAGAATTCTTGGGCAACGGAAGCCTACTTACCTAACCCCCTTCCTTTAGCAAAGATTTCCAAAATCCAATGTTCTTATGAGAAACTTGGGCCCTGACCGGTGCGGCTCAGTAGGTTGGGCATCGTCCCGCAAACGGAAAGTTCGCCAGTTTGATTCCTGGTCAGGGCACATGCCTGGGTTGTGGGCCAGGTCCTGTGTTGGGGTGCGTGCGAGAGGCAACCACTGATGTTTTTCTCCCTCTCTTTCTCCTTCCTTCCCCTTGTTCAAAAAATAAATAAAATCTTTTTTTTGTTTGTTTTTAAAGAAAAACTTGGAAGAGGGATTTTTAAATGCAGAGGTTCTGATTCCGTAGTCTGCTGTGTGGTTCATGACCTGCATTACTGGGATCTTTCCTCAAGTGCGACGTTTATATAGAAAAACGTACAAACCACAGAGGTCTAGCTCACGCAACCCACACGGGCCGTGCACAGCCATGTGAAGAAACAGACTATCACCCGCCCCCTGGCAGCCTCTTCGGGCCTCTGTCCTAGACTGACAGACTCTCTTCTCTCAGGGGTTACCGCTCTCTGGGCATCTAACACCATCGGTTCATTTTTGTACCTGAAATCAATGGAATCATGCAGTAGGTCCTTTTCAGAGTCTTTTTAAAGTTCTTTTAAACTAAAAAAAAAAAAATTGTAATAAAACACATAACATAAAATTTACCATCTTAGCCATTTTTAAGCATACGGTCCAGTGGCGTTCAGCACATTCCCATGGCTGTGTAACCACCGCCACCATCCGTCCCCAGATAAATTGTTCATCCTGTGAAACCAGAGTTCTGTGCCCAGTAAAGAGTAACTTCTGTTCCTGCCTCTCGCTAGGTTCCAGCCACCACAGCTCCACTTTATGTCTGTACAAATTAAATTGCTCTAGGTACCTCCTCAAAGTTGAGCCAGACGGTTTGCCCTTCTGTGACGAGCTTGTTTCACTTAGTATAACGTCTTCAAGTTTCATCCGTGTTGTAGCATGTATCGGCATTTCCTTTTTCAAGCTAAATAACATTCCCTTTTTGGTATATAACATGTTTTGTTTACCCACTCATCCACCGGTGGATGCTTGGGTTGTTTCCACCTTTTGGATATTGTGAATAATGCTGCTATGACCATGGATGTACAAATATTTCTTCAAGTTCCTGCTTTCTTTTGGAGATACACCTAGAAGAATTATAGAATTGCTAGATCATATGGTAATTCTATTCTTAATTTTTTGAGGAGCCATTATACTTTTTTCCATAGTGGCCACACTGTTTTACATTCCCACCAACAGTGCATAAGGGTTCCAATTTCTCCATATCCTTGGCAACACTTATTTTCTTTTTTTTTTTAAACATAGCCATTCTCACATCATTTGATGTGAGTAGTTTTAATTTTCCTAATTATTGATATTGAGAACCTTTTCATAGACTGGTTGATCATTTGTATATCTTCTTTGGAGGAATGTCTATATAAGTTCTTTGCTATTTTTTAATTAAAAAAAATAATTGTTGAGTTGTTGGTCTTTATGTGCTTTGGATATTAACCCCTTACCAGGTATGTTATTTGTAAATATTTTAGTCCATCCATATAGGCTGCCTTTCCACTCTGTTGATAGTGTCTTTTGATGCACAAAAGTTTTTATTTGTAAATAGTCTCATTTATCTAATTTTTATATTGTTGCTTGTGCTTTTGGTGTCATGTCTAAGAAATCACTGAGAAATCTAATGTCACAAGGCTTTCCCCCTATGTTTTTGTCTAAAGCAAAACAACAGTTTTAGCTCTTTTTAATAATATTTTTAGCTCTTGTGTTTAGGTCTTTGATCCATTTTGAGTAAATTTTTATATGGTGTAAGGTTAGGGTCCACTTCATTCCTGTGCATGAGGTAATCCAGCTCTCCTAGCACCATGTATTGAAAAAAACTATTCTTTATCCACTGGGTGGTCTTGGCACCCTTGTCTGAAATCACAGGGTGTATTTTTGGGATTTCTATTCTATTCCATTGGTTTATATGGCTGTCTCTGTGCCAGTACACACTGTTTTGATTACTGCAGCTTTGTAGTACGTTTTGAAATCAGGAAGTGTAAGGCTTCCAACTTTGTTCTTAGTTTGCAGTATTGTTTTGGTTATTCAGGGTCTCTTGAAATTCCACAGGAATTTTAGGTGGGTTTTTCTATTTCTGAAAAAATATTGGGGGAATTTTTACAGGGACTGCACTGAACTTGTAGATCATTCTGGTAGTACTGACATCTTGACAATATTGCCTACCAATCCATGAACACAGGGTTAATTTCTATTTATTTGTGTCTTTCATTTCTTTCACCTATGCTTTACAGTTGTAAGTGTGCAAATCTTTCACTTCCTCAGTTAATTTCTAAGTGTTTTATTCTTTTTAATGCTATTGTATATAAAATTGTTTTCTTAATATTCTTCTCAGATTGTTTCTTGTCAGTATATGGAACACACCTGAATTTTGAGTGTTGAGTTTGTAACCTGCAGCTTTGCTGAATTAGTTTACTAGTTCTAACTGTGTGTGTGTGTGTAAACTGCAGGTCTTTTGTTTTTGTTTTTTTACATATAAGATCATGCCATCTGAGAGCAGAGTTCATTTTACTTCTTCCTTTCCAATTTGCATGTCTTTTATTTATTTTCTTGCATAACTGTTCTGGCGAGGACTCCCAGTATTATGATGAATAAAAATAGTGAAACTAGGCATCTTTTTCATGTTCCTGATCTTAGAAAAAAGGTTTCACTCTTTTATCATTAAGTATGATGCTGCCTGTGGGCTTTTCATATGTGACCTTCATTATGTTGAGGTACTTTCCTTCTCCTCATAGTTTGTTGCGTGTTTTCATCCAAAAAGGTGTTTATTTTGCCAAATGCTTTTTCTGCATCAACTAAGATGTTTTCTTCCTTTTCACTCTGTTAGTGTGGTATGTTACACTGACTGATTTTCGCATGTCGAACCACCTTTGCATTCCAGGAATAAATCCCACTTTGTCATGATGTGAAATCCTCCTATGAATTCTGTTCACTAGTGTTTTGTTCAGGAGTTTTGCACCAATATCCATAAGAGATATTGGTCTATAGTTTCCTTTTTATGTGATTATCTTTTTCTGACTTTGGTATCAGGATAATGTTGGCCTCATCGAATGAGTTAGGACCTATTCCCTCCTCTTCAACTTTTGGGCATTGTGTGAGAATTGCTGTTGATTTTTCTTTACATGTTTGGTATTATTCACTAGTGAAACTGTCTGATCCTGCGCTTTTCATCGTTGGGAGGTTTTGTTTTGTTTTTAAGATTTTAATTATTTATTTTTAGAGAGAGGGGCTGGGAGGGAGACAGAGAGGAAGAGAAACATCTATGTGTGAGGGAAACATCGATCAGTTGCCTCTTGCACATGCCCTGACCAGAGACTGAACCTGCAACCCAGGCGTGTGCCCTGACTGGGAATTGAACTTGCAACCTTTTGCTTTGCACGACGACACCCAACCAATGGAGCCACATCAGTCAGGATTTTTTTTTTTTAATTGATTCATTTCCTTCTAGTTATAGGCCTATTCAGGTTGTCTACTTCTTCATGATTCAGTCTTGGTAGGTTGTGTGTTTCTATAAATTTGTCCATTTCATCTAGGTTATCCCATTTGCTGTCATACGGTTGCTCATAGTCTGCTCGTAGAATACTTCTTATTTCTGAGAAAGTCATAATACTGTTCTCTCTTATAGATCTGGGGCTTTTTCCCTTCAAAATTACGTTTGTGAGATTTGATTTTATAGTTTTAATAAGTACCTTCACAAGTCAGTCTAGGCCAGGCAGTCCAAGATAACACTATGAGAAACCCTACCTTTGAGACCAAGTGTAGCCAGGACACAACACTCCAGAGGCCTCTGAAGTTCTGTTGACGAGCTTAGGGCAGGGTGGTCAGGGCATAATAACTAAATCATTATCCCACTTAGCATTCGGGGCCTCGGTTTCAAATTTAGGCAGAGCATCTACCCGGACTATTTCATAATTATTCAATCTCACTGACTATGCATCAGGACCAGGGCTCACTGTTTAGGATACAAAGATATCAGGACTGCCCATGCTCAAGAATCAAGCACCCCCACAGAACACTTGCTGGAATTACACTCTGAAGTCTCTGTCCATATTTCTGCTGTTGATCCTAAACTATTACATTTGTCTATCATATTCTTTGGTATTTAGGTTTCATGCAAGCCCTCTGAAAGATGCGAAAGGATTTGAGATAAGGAAAGAAAAACTCAGGGAAGGTACTCTTTGAAGGTCATACCGCTAATAACGCAGTCTACTGTATTATCAGACCATTCCGGGCACCCAAAAGCGAAGCAATGACTTCTGCTGAGGCAAAGGCGAGGACCGCATTTACCTACAGAAGAAGTCACGTGGAGGCCTCACGGCAGGCTGACGGTGGAGTGTAGAACTGGGCTGGAGAGGGTAACAGCCACCTCATAGGCCACTGCGGGAACCACAGACACCCCACGTGTGACATCAAAAAAAAAAAAGTCTAGCTATGAAAT